AAAAAAAAAAAAAAAAAAAAAAAAAAAAGGTTATTTAATGAAGATTAATAAATGTTATTTCAAAGTAATAATTTTATTCACTAATATACTATAGTAATGAAAATAATAAAAATAATAAATCATAGAATAAAAAAAAGGCATATGAGAGATATTTGAACTTTTATTTTGTATTATGATTATTTGCATGCATTTGATATTAAACCAGTAAGAAATCAACTAAAATAAAATTTAAAAAAAGAAAAAAAAAGCATGTTTTGTTTCTGTAAATGTTTGAGCGGTCCACGCGTCCCTTTCAGGAGCACCGTCCTCGTGAATGCAAACTCTCAACGCCTTCCTTCGGCTGTGAATGGATAAGCCTTTTCAACTTAGAACCAGAAAACGCCCATTTCCCGACACACCAAGCTTGTCCCATTCAATATTTCCAATCTGCCCATTCATTTACAAATGCCTTTTCAACTTTTCCCCCCACACACACAATTCTCCATCGTTTGTATCATAACTTCCACACCCTTTTTATTTGGGATTCAAAAAGGGAAACCTCTCAATGCCCATTTCTTCCCTCCTCCTCCTCTAACCTCCTCCTATTTTGCGCATTCTGAGCCACCAATTTTGATCCACCATTTTCAGCCCTGCGGATCCACAGCGATTTCAAAAACCCCACTTCGTGTAAGGATCGGATTGTTTGGGGGTCTGAAAGCAATGGATGTTCGACTTCCGATTGTTATTGTGGATGCAAAATTTTGTGGGTACGTTTCTTTTACCTCCTTCCTCTTCACAGTTTTTGCAATTTGGGCCCTGTTGTATTGATTTTGGTGGTAGAATTCTCCACCTCCTTTCATGCATTCATTCCTCTGCTGCCTCTGTTTCTGTGTTGTATATTTGAATTTTGATTTCTTTCTCCTTTTATCTCCTTGGCTGGATTTGCTGAATGTAGTCATCTCTATCTGAAAACAGATTTCACTGGTTTTCCAGTTGCAACCAGGAGAACTTCTCGGATGCTTTCATGATCACTTCAAACTAAATCAGTTTCTGAGGATCCTTATGAAGTCATGGAGCATCCTTATGAAACACAACTAAATGGGGAAGCAGCTGATCATGATTTCCAGATCTGTGGATACTCTTCTTATCCATTATCTAACATTCAAATGCCATCGCCCTTGTTTGATTTAAGAGTCTTCTATGTCAGGTTCAGTAATTTCCGGGTGGATGATTTGACCCCCGAGTTTCTCACTCTCAACCATATCCCTCTAACTCCAAACACCCATTTGGACGTCAATGGTGTTAGAAACAGTAATTTCTCAGGCTTTTCTTCTCTTCTCAGAAGAGATAGGGTCAACAAGAACTCTGAAGAAGCAACATTTGTGAGCACTGATACCATTAGGCTAATGGGGAGTTTGAAGTTTGAGGTTTTCAATGGAGATTATCAAATTCTATCTGGGGAATTGTCTCACGATGTGTGCACTGGAGACTCAAACACCAATTCTTCTAAGAAAAAATGGAGCATGAACTGTGAATCTGGGGTTGTTGCTGATGCTGCATTCTTGAAGGGAAAGCTCATTGCAGGACAGCAATTGATCAGTCCAAAAATTGAAGTGTACATTGCTGGTAGCTTTTCTGGAAACCCCGTTGTCTTAACGAAAACTCTGCAACTCGGCTTTCGAAAGAAACATGGCCATAAACGCATGTTGGATGCAATACCAGAATATGATACCTCTGAATGCCACAAAGATTCATATCCCCTATATGATTCACAAGTAAGGTTCTTGTTAGAGTCTTTATTCCTTGAATAACTTGTCAAGAAAGTTCTATTACTCCGTTGTTTGCTGCACTGCAACCTACTCTTGAAGATCTAAAATGTTACCATTTTGTTGCTTGGACAGACCTTAGAACTTAGAATCTTATCCAAAACACATGAATCAATGAAAGAAGTATGGGTAGGGATGGTTCTGATTCCATCACCATCACCTTGGTCCTTAGTTCTGACCCATTTTTCTAAGTGTCCTATCAGGATTTATCTATCAGAACCAGGCCATCTGATGGACATGGCCTCCCACTCCTAGGAGGACATGTTGAGGATTGTGCTTAATGGGGTCCCCCCCCCCCCCCCCCCCCCCCCCCCCCCCCCCCCCCCCCCCCCCCCCCCCCCCCCCCCCCCCCCCCCCCCCCCCCCCCCCCCCCCCCCCCCCCCCCCCCCCCCCCCCCCCCCCCCCCCCCCCCCCCCCCCCCC